TGACACTGTGTGTGTCTGCTTTTGATGTGTGTGACACTGTGTGTGTCTGCTTTTGATGTGTGTGACACTGTGTGTGTCATCTTGCATGAGCATGGTGTGAAACTGTCAAGCACGGTCGTCTCAAAGTATGAGCAATGGTTGGCTTGGAATTTGAAACAACAAAGTCTCAATAACAGCCACACTGTTTTGATCTGTCAGCATGGAAAGGTAACCCTGTTTGGTGGAGGAGCTTACTAAGGGGCATGGGTTCTAGCACCCTGCAAAGGGTGTTAAGTGCTCGCTTCACAAGCACGTGATCACGTGTCTTTGTCCATTTGGAAGATCCAGATAAGGGTTGCCTTGAAATGATGAGATCTCAGTGACCTGTTCTGATGTGTAAGCATGGAAAGTTTACCTTACCTTGTTTCGCACAGAAGCAAACTAAGCGCATACTCAAACTGGGACTCTGTTTCGGCTAAAGCCGAGAGTAGTCGGGGCCCCATACATCCCCAAAAGTCCTAGTGTGAGTATGCCCTACTGTGCATTGGTTCTTGAGGTTCTGGAGCAATCAGGCAGCCCGCTAGGAGGGGGTGCTCATATCACCCCTCCTAGCATGGAAGCATGGTTTTCACCAAAAAAAAAAAAGGAAAAAAAAGAGGTTCTGATTGTGTTGAATGTGGTTGTGAATGTGGTTGCATGCATGCCGCTTGATCTTTGCGTTATTTGTTGCCAGTGGTGCAGTCAAGGCGATCCTTGATGCGTTTCTTCCCCAGCTGGCTTTGATCGTCTTCCTTGCACTGCTCCCAGGCTTGCTTATGAAGCTCTCAAAGTCAGAAGGAATACTTTCTCTGGGTCATGCGACTCGTGCTGCAGCTGGCAAGTACTTCTACTTCATGGTTTTCAATGTCTTCATTGGCTTCTCCATTGGAGGTTCTCTGTGGAGCCAGCTTGACATAATCCAGAAAGAGCCAGCGAAGATCATCAGTATCCTTGGGAAATCACTTCCCATGAACTCCATGTTTTTCATCACATTCATCGTCACGAAATCATTTACTGGCTACGGTCTCGAGCTATCGCGAGTTGTGCCGTTGATTATATTCCACATCAAGAAGAAATATGTGTGCAAGACCGAGAAGGAAGTGCTTCTAGCCTGGAAACCGGGGCCATTTTCATATGCAACCGCCGTGCCAAATGACTTGTTGATTATGACCCTGTCACTCTGCTACTCTATTATTGCTCCGCTGATCCTTCCATTCGGCATCGTCTACTTTGCATTTGGTCTCCTTGTCAACCGACGCCGGGTATGTGTCAAACTACA